CCAAATGTAACAAATCATTGAAAATCTCATGTCGGTAGATACTACAGTCATTCATCTAAGACATCCTTTGTCAAGGGAGGTTTTGTGCAAAAACTATAAGTGAAGCCTCTATTTCATACACATGAAATACATTTTATTTTTCTTCAAAAAAAAGCAATGCATATTCAAAATATAAGTGAAAAAAAGTGTATTCACTATGATTTTGTTTCTGTATTTTGGGTGTGTGCAATTGGATCTAAAATTGACACATAACTGATAAACTTAGAAGACATATAATACACTTATGAAATATGCTAGCGTCAGCCGCATGTGCGTATGTCACCTTATTACAACTCTTAAGCCTTTTTCGATACTGTATATCCTGGACGGTAGATGACTGGACCTTTGCCTCCGACCCAAATGTACATATATTTTTCTCCCTCTCTTGAGCTTATAACTTTTAAGCCTCCAACAACTCCATTCATAGTTAATTTCGAACCCAGATAAAAAAAAAATCATAATTGATTTATTATTTTTCCCATACATATTAATTAGGAAGAAAAGGATAGAATTCTTGTCCCGAGGACAAAATACATATTAAAGCTAGATTCGATACAATTTAGAAAAATGTATTAACCAATAATCTCATGCTGGGTTCGGGGGTGAAAAAAATAGAAGGGGTGAGGGGTCTGTTGGGTGGGGGATTGGTCTGGGAGTGGAGGGTGGTTGTCATGGGGGAATGGGGGAATGGGTGGAGAAGAAAACGGCAGGTGGTGGGGAGGGGTGGGTTTTGGGTCTGTGGGTCCTTGGGATTTCTTTTTCTTTTTATTTTTTAATTTTTTCCAAAAATATATATTTTTTAATAATTTGACAGACTATTGGATGACATGTTGGTAGGGGGAATTGGCAATATAAATGAGTTCATGCAATTAATTTTCAAAAAAAAAAAAAAGGTTGAGTGTGCAAGTTGAAAGTAACGTATAAGTTCAAGAGGTAAATCAACAGTTAATCCTTCAGTAAAAGCAGTATGTACATGTGAAAATAGAACAATATATGAATTGAAGTATTATAGAGTAATTGATGCCAGTGTCGGACGGTATGAAGTATTTTAGAGTGATTGAAGCCAATTTGACAAATCCGTGCTTGCTTTATTGTTTATCTTTGCATGGGAGATTCATATTTGTGTTGTTGAAAACTTGAAAACTCTTGTTTTAATAAAATCATCTTCAAAATTAACTTTTGCAGTTTCAATTGTTCTCTAATATAATCGACAAGAAGTTCAAGGGGTAAATTAACCATTTAGTAAAAGCAGGATGTACATGTGAAAATAGGACAATGTATAAATATTATAGAGTGATTGAAGCCAGTGTCGGACGGTATGAAGTATTTTAGAGTGATTGAAGGCAATTTGACTAATCCGTGCTTGCTTTATTGTTTATCTTTGCATGGGAGATTCATATTTGTGTTGTTGAAAACTTGAAACCTCTTGTTTTAATCAAGAAATTATAGTTATAAGCTATACACGTTTTGGTTCTGCCATCATCTTCAAAATTAACTTTTGCAGTTTCAATTGTTCTCTAATATAATCGACAAGATCCCTTAAACTTAAAAAAAATCCAATTTATCATTTCATGACAAATTGGTATATTAACGTAGAAGAAGAGTATGGGCTACTTGGTAATTTCATGATGATGATACAAAATATATTAATTGTTTCTTGATTGAAGCAAACTAGTGCGGAAAAGATAATTTAAAAACATAGTATACTGGATCCTTGCTATACACAGTAAAAGAAGAAACCAAAGATTGATAGGGAGGAATATGCATGCTTGAAAAATAGTTAAAGAATATGTGGGAATTTCTTGCTCAAATGGTAGATCACCTCCACACCCAAGGTACGCAATTCCATTCTTGCCCCATCCAATGAAGCCAAAAAGAGGTTAAAGAACATAATTAGAGCCTTCTCGCCATTATATAAGAGTGTATGTACATTGTAAGAATAGTAACTTGAACGCGGGAGTGCATAGCGAAACAGAAGAAACTAGAGGAGTTGTTCATTTTCTGCAGGTAAGTTTGTCTTGCACATAATATTACTTTTTGTTTTCAATCCTTGATTTTGTAACAAACTCATTGCATTTGTTATATAAGTATACTTGAACGTGTCAAATATGCGCATAAACATGTAAAAGAAAGGCAGAACTATACTGAAGGAAAAATAAAGAAAGAAATTAATACAGTAGAAAAGAAGTATACGTTGTCACCAGCAATTCTTTAACCATTGATGACAATATCAATTTGTGAAACAAACATATTAAATTTCTTTTTAACAATTTTACAAAAGGGTTTATTTGTCTTTAAAATTTGGGTAATGCTATGCTTACCACATAAATCTACCACATTTTAATATCCAGATTGTATTTCCTTGAACATCTTGATTTGGTTTTGGTAATCTTTTTTTTCGTTATTGGGAATGGAAAATAAGGAATTGTTTCTTGATTGTTTTATCAGTAATTCAGTAATCCATGAACACCACATATAGTCAGGAGCTGGAAAATGGCAGGAAGCAATCAAGCTGATCAAAATGACATAGAAAACCCATACATTTCATTAGCAAATTCGATGAGAAAAGGGTTCAATAGCTTGTCTCCCCCATCCTCCGAGTGCTGTATCTACAGAGTTCCTCAACGACTACGAAGTGTGAATGAAAAGCTTTGCACACCTCAGGCGGTCTCTATAGGCCCACTTCACCATGGAAAGGAAGGCTTGAATGTCGTATTGGAAGAGCACAAACAGAGATACCTGCAAGATTTTATAGGTCGGACCAATGTGAGTTTGGAGGATTATATTAAGAAAATAAAGGACCACGAAGCAAGATTGAGACGTTGTTATGGAGAACCCATCAAGTTTAGCAGTGATGAATTTGTAACAATCATTCTAGTGGATGCCGCCTTCGTTATTGAGCTCTTATTGAAGGACTACTTCAATATTTGGGATGAAAATGACCGCATATTTGACAAACCAGGTATGTTGCAAGATGTATGGACAGATATGTGGTTGCTTGAAAATCAGTTGCCATTCTTCATTCTCGAGGATCTTTTCGACCCACAGAAAATTACACTCCCTGCTAATGCTGACAATAACGGCATTACCGAGGGGCTTTCAATAATTAGTCTTTCTTTCAGTTTCTTCGAACATCTATTGCCTGTTGACAAATTGGAAGACAATGTGGAGACTTTTAGATCAGTGTGGCACATATTGTTGATCTTTTCAGGAAAATATTTAAACTCTATCAACCATTGGAATCAGCTGGAGGGGAACTCCCATCATCCATACCCAGCTTGACAGAATTACAGCACGCTGGAGTCAGGTTTGAGGCGCAACAAGGTGAAAACATATTTGACATACGATTCAGTAGCACCGATGGGGTTCTGAAGATCCCACGATTTCCATTGGGGTTCTTTACAGAAATAATGAGAAATGTCCTTGCCTTTGAACAATTGCATTACCCGATGAGTGAAGATAATTACATGAGTCAGTATGTTTCCTTAATGGGTGGTTTGGTGAAAACCTCAGGGGATGTGGAGTTGCTTATTGAGTATGGAATCGCACGTGCTGAGAGACATCTGTTACGCGGAAAATATGAGGGGTTTACTTCATTATTAGTTAACAGCCTTTTCACTCATGTTCCTATAGATATTGATAACTTCTATTATGCTCATGTTTGTGACGAACTGAACAAGTACTACAGCAAGCGGTGGAACAAATGGAAGGCGATTTTGAGACAAAACTATTTCAACACACCTTGGGCAACTATTTCTGTCATTGCAGCTGTTGTTCTTCTCATACTTAACTTAATGTTCAAGTATTTTAGAGAGTGATTGCAGAATTCTTTTGGCCATTGTTTTCTTAATTCGTGTGGCCATTGTTGTAAGCTTCATTCATGTGTGTGGCTATTGTTTAGCCTGTTAGTCAAGTCATAAGAGTTAGGCAAGTAAGTTAGGCAAGTAAGTTAGGCAAGTCATAATTAGGCAAGTCATAGTTAGGCAAGTCTTAGTTAGGTATGTTTACATTTTCCACCGGGCGACCGGTCGCTTTTGAACAGACTTGATTTTCTTCTTGAGCCTTGTTTTCCTTCTCTTCATTCCTCCTCTCCCCCTGAAGAGAAGGGGGCGTAACAGTTTTAAAGTATGATAAATCTTCATGGAATGTGGCATCCATAGTGACAAAGAGCTTGCGAGTAGGAGGATGGTAACACTTGTATCCTTTTTGATTTGATCCATACCCAACGAACGCACAACGAATGGCACAAGGGTCCAGTTTACTTCTTTGATGAGATGGAACATGAGCATATACAACACAACCAAATATGCGAGGAGGCAACTTGAGGACTGTAGGAAGAGAGACGTGACGAGCCAAGGTGTTCAGTGGAGTTTCAAACTTCAAAACACTACTAGGCACTCGATTAATGACATAGACTGCAGAAAGGAGGGCATGTCCCCATAAGTAGTGAGGGACCGATTTATCCAGCATGTAAGCACGAGTAACCTCAAGTAATTGTCGATTCTTTCGCTCTGCGACACCATTTTGTTGTGGAGTAAAAGGTGTGGAGGTTTGATGAATGATGCCGTGGTCTCGAAAAAATTGTTCCAAGACCTTGTTCACATATTCCCCACCATTATCAGACCGGAATACTTTGATGGAGGCTTGGAATTGTGTGGTAATCATAGCATGAAATTCACGGATTGCAGCGGAAACATCACTTTTATGAGCAAGTAAGTATACCCAAGTCATGCGAGTGCAATCGTCAATAAATGTAACAAACCATCTTTTGCCATTGGAAGAGACTTTAGCAGGACCCCAAACATCAGAGTGAACCAAATCAAAAGGAAATTCTGTCTTATTATCACTTAAGGGAAAAACAGTTCGATGGCTTTTGGCCAATACACAGGTTTCACACTGAAACTGGTGATTATCTAAGCCACGAAACAAAGACGGAAACAAACGTTGAAGATAGCCAAATGATGGATGCCCTAGACGACGATGCCAGAGCCAAATCTGGTGTTGATTTCGAGCTTGTGAGCTGGAACTATGAGTATGAGCTGCCCTTGGTGGTGGAGATACCGTCAAGGAATACAACCCCCCTCTTCGTTTACCATGCCCAATCGTCGCGTGAGTCGTGAGGTCCTGAAAAATACAATGGGAAGGATAGAATGTGGCATAACAATTATGTGAGTCAAGTAATTTTCCAACAGACAGCAAATTGCAATTGATGGAGGGAACAAGTAGTGTATGAGATAAAGATAAGGAAGGGGAAAGTGATATAGTTCCTTCACCAGCAACATTAGAAGGAACTCCATTGGCACTAGTGATGTATGGATGACAAGACTTGAAACTGGATATCTGGACAGCAATGAAGGTACAGAAACATTATCGTTCTTATTTGGTGAAGATCCCGGAGATGACAATCCAAATGTTTGCTGTGATCAACTACAAAATACAACCCCTTCTTCTCAACCATCGGACCAATCGTCTCGTGATGAAGAAACACTCGAGGTAATTCCCGAACCACCTAATCCTATACCATACACTCTCCCACCTAGGACCACTAGAGGAAAACCCAAACCTCAATATTGTCCTGACCTTGCTGCCAAGTCTAAATATCCCATTAATAACCATGTTTCAACTCATAGATTGTCAAAGTCATATGCATCATTTGTCAATCAATTATCTACTGTATGTGTTCCAAATAAGTGGCAGGATGCTATAACAGATTCCAGATGGGCTGAAGCAATGGCAATTGAAATGGAAGCTCTGGAAAAGAATTCTACATGGGAGATGGTTCAGTTACCACAAGGGATGAAACCAGTTGGATGTCGGTGGATATACACTGTTAAATACAAAGCTGATGGATCCATAGACAGATACAAAGCTCGATTAGTAGCCAAAGGGTATACACAAACATATGGAATTGACTACCATGAGACATTTGCACCTGTTGCCAAGATCAACACTGTTCGTGTTCTAATGTCATTGGCTGCAAATCTTGATTGGCCACTACTGCAGTATGATGTAAAGAATGCGTTCCTTCACGGGGACTTGCAAGAAGAAGTGTATATGGAACCACCACCAGGGATCTCTACGACATTCGGTCCCAACACCGTTTGCAAGCTGAAAAAATCACTATATGGGCTCAAGCAGTCGCCACGAGCTTGGTTTGGAAGATTCACTGATTCCATGAAGCGTTTTGGATACTCTCAGAGTCACTCGGATCACACTTTATTCTTAAAGCGTCGTGGTAACAAACTGACGGCCCTCATCATCTATGTTGATGATATGGTGGTTACCGGTAATAACAATGAAGAAATGAAGAATCTGCAGAAGCTCCTTGCTAGTGAATTTGAGATGAAGGACTTGGGTGAGTTACAATATTTCCTTGGCATAGAAGTTGCTAGATCAAAACATGGCATATTTCTATCCCAACGAAAATATGTGTTAGATTTGCTAACAGAAACTGGAATGCTTGATTGCAAGCCAGCTGACACACCTATTGAGCAGAACCACAAGTTAGGGATGTATCCAGATCAAGTACCCACTGACAAAGAAAGGTATCAAAGGTTAGTTGGGCGACTGATCTATCTGTCACACACACGCCCCGACATAGCTTATGCTGTAAGTATGGTGAGTCAGTTTATGCATCAACCGAGTGAGACACACATGAATGGAGTAACTCGGATTCTGAGGTACTTGAAGGCTGCCCCTGCAAAAGGATTAATGTTCTCCAAACATACACATATGTACCCGGAAGGATACACAGATGCTGATTGGGCAGGATCCATCACAGATAGACGGTCTACATCTGGATACTTTACATTTGTGGGTGGCAACTTAGTCACTTGGAGAAGTAAGAAACAAAAAGTTGTGGCTAGATCAAGTGCTGAAGCAGAATTCAGGGGAATGGCTCAAGGAGTGTGTGAATTGCTCTGGTTACGGAGATTACTGAAGGATCTTGGAGTTAAACCCTTAAAAGCTACAAACTTGTACTGTGACAATAAAGCTGCTATCGAGATAGCACATAACCCAGTACAACACGACCGTACCAAACATGTGGAAGTCGACCGACACTTCATCAAAGAAAAGCTTGAAAGTGGTATAATTAAGTTTCCGTTTGTAAACTCGGAAAACCAACTTGCCGACATTCTGACAAAGGCCGTATCAAGTAAAGTTTTCTATGCCTCACTTGACAAGTTGGGCATGCGTGATATCTTTGCACCAACTTGAGGGGGAGTGTTAGTCAAGTCATAAGAGTTAGGCAAGTAAGTTAGGCAAGTAAGTTAGGCAAGTCATAATTAGGCAAGTCATAGTTAGGCAAGTCTTAGTTAGGTATGTTTACATTTTCCATGTTTTAGGGAGACACAAATCCTGGAAATGCTCCATGGTTTTGTATACTTGTTTGTAACTAATAGTTACCCTTTCTACATTGTGTATAAATATCTCCATGATAGCAATACAAAGATATAAGGGAGAATTCTCTGCAAAACATCTCTTATTCCTCACTCTTTACTCTCTCAATTACACTATATTTGACATAGCCAACATGCATGCACATTTTACCAAGTTCCTTTCTCGCCTGATATTTTGGTAATCTTCTCCGCAATATTCTAGGGCCATCCTCGTATCCATCATGATCTTCAAAATCAACTTTTGCAGTTTCAATTGTTCTCTAATATAATCGACAGGATCCCTTAAACTAAAAAAATTCAATTTATCATTTCATGACAAATTCGTATATTAACGTACAAGAGTATGGGCTACTTGGTCATTTCATGACAGCGTGCTGTGTGCATGAGGATGATACAAAACATATTATTTCTTGACCGAAGGAAATTAGTGCCGAAAAGATAATTTTAAATCAAAGTAAAAGAAGAAACCAAGGATTGATAGGGTGGAATATATGTTGTGACTTGTTAGTTTATAGGAGGTGTGATGTGTTGCTCTGATACCATTGGTTGATGTGTGAAGGGGTTTAGGACAATAGGACAATAGTTGAACAAAGTGAGATTTTATTATATTGGAGAAGAATAGTACATAGCTTAGTGTAGGCTAATTGGCCTTCTTCTTAACTTATTTTGGCTTATTGGCCACCACACTTGATTTAGATTAGTTTAGGCTATTTGGCCCTTCACTTAGATTGGTGAGCTTATTTGCTCCTCAACATAGCTTTATTTGGGTAGCTCTTGGCTCCTAATAGTTTGGGAGTTGGCTTGTTTGATTGGTTCACTCCACCTTGCTTTGTTGCATTGCATGCCTATTTATAGGCATTCTTTGCCGACATCACCAAGTCCACCGACTTGGTTTCTTTTACTCCAACCACAAGTGTGTGGCTTCATTTAGAATATTCTATATTGTGCAATATTATTTTTGTGGCTATTGTTTAGCCATCATGCTCCACCTCCATAGTCTAGCAACATGCGTGTTCTTGAGTTTTCTAGAATTGTGTAGTTACATCTACACAAATATGCATTACTTTTTCAACATGACTAAAGGGTGTGCACAAGTATTATTGATAACAATTAATACAATTTGCAAAACAAACGTATTAAATTTTGTTTGTTTTTTTTTTGTGTGGGTCAAAACGTATTAAATTTCTTCTTAAGTAGCACATTTGAAAATCAAGCTCGTTTGGGACTGCTTCTCTATGAAGCACTTCTGCTTATAAATGCTTCTAGCAAGCGCTTTTATTATAAAAATGTTGAAATCTAAGTGCTTCCTAGTAAAGCACTTTAGAGTGCTTTCTGAAAAAGCACATAGCAAGTGCTTCTTTAGAAAGCACTTCTACGATCCATAAGCGCTTCTAAACTTTTCTGCAAAACGTTGTTAGAAGCACTTTTAGTTGTCAAAAAAACACTTTTAGCTATTCTAGAAGCACTCCCAAACATACTTCTCCTTTTTATACCCTTTATCCCAAAGGTATAAAAAGGATTGAGCTACAAACCCACTATACAACATGCCAAGCCTTAGAAAGGTAAAGCCAGGGTAAGCATAACATGAACAGTGAAAAGAGTCACAATTTTCAATTGTTATTTGTTTTGTTAATTTCATTTCATATGGACAGACTTCGGCAACTATTAACCAAGTACTGCAACAAGCGGCGGAACAAATGGAAGGCGATTTTGAAGCAAGACTATATTTGAACATACCTTGGCAACTATTTTATGTCATTGCAGCTGTTGTTATACAGTCTGCTCTGCTATAAGTGTAGCAGAGGAATGTTCATTATGTCATCAGTCACACAGCCTCACGCACTTGGAGTGAGGGAAGCATCTCATTCTTATTACATATATAGCCCCCACCATGTTCCCATTACTGAGGCAAGATTTCTATTTCATGTATCTACCAGAGGAGCAAGCTGTCTGCACTGAGCTTTTCCCATTAAAATTAAAAAATAATTATTTAACCAAACCAAACCAAACCGTTGCTATGCGGATATAATTCGGATGAGATGCCCATCTCTATACACATCAACTGCCACATCATGTGATATAAAAATATGGTACGACTAGAATTATTTAAAAAATAAAGAACGATAGGTAAATAGTTTACCTGTAGTTTAGGTAAGTCCTTAGCCAAAGTTGAGTTGCAAATTTTGTGAAAATATAGGGAAATCAAAATACATATAAATACACGTAAGTCCTTAGCCAAAGTTGAGTTGTAAATTTTGTGAAAATATAGGGAAATCAAAATACATATAAATACACGTAAGTCCTTAGCCAAAAAAAAATATATATATATATATAGGTAAACAGTTTACTTGTAAAATAAAGGTATCTGTCCTTAACCAAAAAAATATTTTACCTCGGACCCATGCAGCAACTTTGAGCTTAACAATAGGTACCTACTAGATTTTTTACATCGGATCCATGTAAGTTTGGAATATTTTATAAAGAAAATAAGGGCCCAAGAAGCAAAACTGCGCAGTTGTTATGCAGAGACCATCGGTTTTAGCAGCGATGAATTTGTAAGAATCATTCTGGTGGATGCGGCCTTCATCATCGAGGTCTTGTTGAGGTTCTGTTACAAGCATTTGCGGGTTGAGAATGATCGTATATTTAACAAACCAAGGATGTTGGAGGATGTATGGCCTGACATGCGGATGCTTGAAAATCAGCTCCCTTTCTTCATTCTCGAGGATCTTTTCGATCATGAAAGAAATATTGTTGGCATTCAGACGACAATTATTGATCTTTCTTACCATTTCTTCAAAACTCTAATGCATATGAAGGACATGGAAGACACTTTGTCCCGGATACGTCCTCCTCATCAGGTAGAGCATTTTGTTGATTTTGTTAGAAAGTTATATCCATTGCCTCCACAATTAAAATCGAAAGTGCCACAAGTTCAAGGGCCATTCCAAACCCTAACCATAGGCATGATGTCATCATGTGTAATGGATGTACCACAAGCTCGAGGGCAACTTGAAACCCAAACCATACCCAGCATGACACAGTTATACCGAGCAGGGGTCAAGTTTAGGAAGGGGTCAAGCACAAACATATTCGACATTCGGTTCAATATTGACGATGGCATTTTGGAAATTCCAAAAATAACAATAAGTGATCAATCAGAGGTCACACTCACAAATCTCCTTGTCTTTGAACAAACCCTATGCAAGAAGGTAGAAAATTACATAAATGATTATGTTGTCATCTTAAACATTCTTGTGAACACCCCGGAGGACGTGGCGTTGCTTGTTAAGAATGGGATTGTTGAAAACAAGCTAGGTGACAGCACTAAAGCCTGTACAATGATCAAGAACCTTGCTGACGGCGTCATTATGGCCGATGAGTTCTACTTCACCACTCTTTGTGAAAACCTGAACAAGTACTACAGAATGTTTAGGCACAGATGGAAGGAATATTTGATAAAACATTTCTTCAACTCACCTTGGACAACTAAGGAAATCGTTGCAGCTGCTATTTTCCTAATGCTCACTTTCGTACAGACGGTGTGCTCTATTATCTCTGCTGCGCAACAATAGTAAGTTTCTCCTTCGCCTTTTCCTCCCCATATCCTTATCCCTTTTGTTCATTCACATCACATAGTCTTTGAGAGAGGTGTAAGTTTGGTTTAAGCTGCAAACTGCGATTAGTCGTCTATAGTATAGAAGGAGACTTAGGTTTCCTTCAACTGAGTGTAAGAGAGATTTGAAGTTTGAAAAAAAAAATGTACATACTCTGACACTTAATTTCCTTTTCTAATTGGAATTTACAAGGTTAATTAGTATGATAGGAAGTTGATTTAAATTAGGAATTTTAGATAATTAATTGAGTGAGAAGCCATTATTAGGCTTTCTCTTCTGATAATCGGTTTCTTTCGTTCACCAGGTTCTAGCAGGAAGCTAATTTGGGGTCTCGTCAAAGAAGGGATACTAGGAAAGCCTGTGAATACGTATCTAACAAATAAAGCTGTGTATGTCCACCCAACTTGGAAGTTGCTTTGCCCTGATCTCTCTGCATTTCCATATGAAAAGCATGATGTGAAGAAGTGCCCCTGCTAGCTTGGCCCATTGCCAGGCTCCTGAAATGAGCTGAAATTTGTAAATCCATCAGTCTTTCTTTCTTTCAAGTGTTCATATTCAAACTGTAAGTTTTCTTGCGGAGACTTTTATTTGGCTGAAAATATTGTTATAATTATATATAAATACTAAACTGTATCTCAGATATTTCCCTCATAAATTTCAGTACATGATATTATAAACTTTTAAAGATAAATACAGGGTTGAGAAAGTGAGATAAATCTAGCACACTGCCTATACTTCCTTTTAAATACAGAGGAAAACAGGGGGGAAAACAGGGGAAAAGAGCTTGCATTGGCCTCAGTCCCCCCATATGTCTGTCTACTCTTGCATGATCAATTAATGCCCTACAACGAATCCTCTAGGTCTTTTCTAATGCTCACTTTTGTTCAGACGGTGTGCTCTTTTATCTCAACAATTTCAATCAAACTGTATGTTTTCTAGCCAATACTTCTTTTTTTTTGGCTAAACTGTATGAGTTGAAAATGTGGTTATAATTGTATATAATACTAAATTGTTTATCCAATATTTCTCTCATAAATCTCAGCACATGAAATTAGAAACTCTTTTGGATAAATATAGGGTTGAGAAAGTGAGATGAATCTATCACACGGTTACAAATTTTTCCCATTTACACACCCGGAATACAGAGGAAAACTCGGGAAAAAAAAATTCAAAATTAGTGTTTGTTTTATTTGTCTCTTTATTCGTGCTCCTTCTTATGCAGAATCACACATTTATAGAATATGAGAACGTTAGTCGACCGGCTTCTCATATGTGCAAATGCGGGATCCCGCTTAAGAGTCTTTTTCTATAATCAATCAAACGTGCTCTAATTAGCCCTATACTTGAGTTCATGTGCTCTAAACAAAACAGTGTAAATGTATTTGTAAGTGACGGAATGTACATGGATTGAATCAAGGCTAAAATGAAAGTGGGAAAATTATATACATGAATAATCAAGGCTCCACCAAACATACCAACATATATGGGGTTTGTCTAACAATATAAAACATGTCCAACGCTATAAAGAATAGAATATTAATGCCTGTACAGTATTAACATTAATAATGATCAGCGCTCTGGTTCACGAAGCCAACCGAGTTGCTCATGGGAAGGAAGGAGCATGTGGGGGAGAAGGACCGCAGCATCAGAGCATCCAGTGGATCCAATTGACCCGTTGGAAATGCGGATACAGCTGCATCTAAGCTAATGTAAGTTGTTGATTCAGCTCAGTATTTGCATAGCTCATGTACCACAGGCCCTTTTAAATTAAAAATAAGGTACCACATGCCCTTTTAAATTAGTGGGGGCCTGTATTATTTAATATTTAGTATTTACTTTGCATCCGAGGACTTAAATTTGATTCCCACACCCTAAATATCAGTTATATAAAAATAAAAAATAAAAAATGCTAGTAACTGGTAGACGGTTTACTGTGGAAAATGATCCAGCATAAGGTCGAGATAGTTTAATAAAAATAGTTCAATTTCACGGTGTAAAAATAAATAAAAACTGTGTTGACTTAGAACTTTGTTTGTAGTGGACAGAACTCCGCAAATATTAAAAGCAATGAAGCTCTAAACTGATCTGACTTCTGAAGGAATCATTATTTTTTTAATTATCATTATTCAAGCAATTTGTTGTTCTTAATGGAAGATTAAATCAGCTTGTTCTTACATATAGCTCATCATTGTGCTATTAATAGGAGAAAGTTCTACCTCAAACTATCTGCATTGAACTTTTCCAGTCAGCTATCAGAGGCAAAAGAAGCTTTGGAGGTGTGTTTTAATCACTTCCATCTCTTTTTAGTTTTGAGTTAATAATTTGTTTTGGTTCCATACTTCTAATTGCTATTTTTGCACACCCTTTTTCTTGAAGCTTTAGTTTGTTATATATGGAGTTGCGGGAGTGAGTTAAATCCGTGTACACCCTCTTTCGGCCTTCCCTCTTTCTTCAATATGTTTTTTGTTTTGTTTTGTTTTTTTCATAAGTTTGCTTAAAGCATCTCCAACGTTCATAATGAAATATTTGAATCACTGTATGATCAGGAGGAAAATGGAAGAAATTGATGAAGGTCCAAATGACATAGAAAGCCCATACGATTTGATGCTGGAATTGGGTGGCTTCTCCTTGTCCCCTTTGCGGTGTATCTACAGAGTTCCTAGGCGACTACGGCAGGGAAACGATGACGAAGCCTACACACCTCAGGTAGTCTCTATAGGCCCACTTCACCATGGAAGGGAACACTTAAATGCTATGGAATATCACAAAAAGAGGTATCTACGAGATTTTCTACATAGAAACCAGTTAAACTTGGAGATTTATAAAATGAAAATAAAGGGCCAAGAAGACAGACTGAGAAAATGTTATGCAGAACCCATTGGGTATAGCAGTGAAGAATTTGTAAGAATCATTCTAGTGGATGCCGCCTTCATTATTGAGTTTTTGTGGAGGTACAATAGCCCAAAATTTCAAGATGAGGACGACTACATATTTAATAAGCCATGGATGGACGATGATGTATCGGTGGACTTGCGGATGCTTGAAAATCAGTTGCCACTCTTCATTCTGGAGGATCTTTTTGTCCCAGAGAAATATTTTGATTATCCTGATAAGCCTTCAATAATTAGTCTTTCTTACGCTGTGTTCAAAACTACTTTCTTTACGGCAGGAGCAAAAGACTTCGTTTTGGAGGGAAAAAGTTCTTCTGAAGTAAAACATTTTGTTGATTTGATAAGAACTTCATGTCTACCATCGAAATTAAAATCTGAAAGGGAAGTCAAAACTATAAACACACCCAGCATCACAGAGCTACACAGGGCAGGGATCAAGTTGAGGGCGGGATCAACGAATAACTTATTTGATATTGGATTTGCTGACGGGACTCTTGAAATTCCAAGATTGGAAATAAGCGATGATACAGAGGTATTAATTAGAAATCTCATCGCATTTGAACAATGCCACTATGAGGAGAAGTACATAAGTGATTATGTTAGTCTCATGGATTGTTTTGTGAACACCCCAAAGGATGTGGAGTTGCTTGTTCAGTATGACATTGTTGAAAATTGGCTAAGTGACAACAGTGAGGTGTCTACTTTGATTAATAAGCTTGGAAAAGGGGTTTCGATAAATGACAATAACTTTTATTTTGCTACTGTTGTTGAAGATCTGAACTCCCACTGCGGAACTCGCTGGAACAAATGGAAGGCAAATTTGAGACAGAATTATTTCAACACACCTTGGGCAATTATCTCTTTCGTTGCAGCTGTTTTTCTCCTCATACTCACTTTCATCCAAACAGTGTGCTCCATTATATCTATTGCTTAAGCATCGGCAACAGCAAGTGGATCTCTTTCTGTATTCTCCCTGTCCTTTTTCCATCACCAACGTAGTGAAGAAACAAAAAACAAGAGAAAGTTTGTATTGTATGTTGAGCAGTATGACTCCTTGTCTGTTATTTAAACTTTTCTGTGTGCTTGTTGGGTGATATGTACCAAGTAATGTATATTGTATTGTATTGTGATTCGATCAATAAAAAGATAGTATTGTGAAGTGATGAAGCAAAGAAATACTATTTTCATACTAGCTAGTTATTTATTATGACAACAAATGGATGTGAATATTGCGGAACAAAAGGCAAAATTTAGCCCATTACTAGCAAACAAGGTCTTAAATATGGGGGTATCGGAAATATCAGAAGTCAAAAAACACGGAAATATCGCAGGAAATATCGGGATATTATCGGTATCGGAAAAAATTGAATAAAAACCACGGAAATTGTAAGAAAAACTTGGAAATTTTTATTGAAACTTTGCAGGATGTTTATTTAGTCAATTATCTATTAGTTTATCACAAAAAATTGGAAGGAAATGCATTGCATGATGGATTTAACTGATTTAAGTTGATTATATAGCGAGCTGGCAAACATCGTAAGTGTAGAAAATACGTAGTAATTAATGAAAGAATATTAAACACACTATAATCATTTATATATAATGAATTACTACAATATTTTACATTTTATACATTACATAGTAAGATACATGAGTGACTTAGTACCACATAGAGTTCCTATGAGGTTCAAAATTTTCACTATCTTCCTCATCTCTATGTGTAGAGTAAGTATATTTTGAAAAGTAGTCATCAAATGATAAATCCCCAAAATAGTTTTGCATGTAATTGTTAACATGCCACCCATATGGATCCGAGATTGGTTGACGTTGTCCATAAGCAAAATCATTTGAAGATTGAGTCTCGGATTCTTTCCATGAGTCGCTTGATTCCATCCCAACAGGAATGGGGTATGAAGGGTAGGGAAATGGTTGGTTATGAGTATAACCATAGTTACTACTCATCTCATGTGAAAATTTGTTTCTTGCAAAAAGAATTCAAAACAAAACCATGTATATATATAAATATTTTAGTATTTTCACAAAAACATAAGTGATATGGTGGTTAAGGTGTTGAAGGAGTAAAATGGTTTTCACAAATACCATGTATATAAATATTTTTGGGTTTCGTATCGGGATATTATCGATAATATCTCGATATATTGCCCAAATCATTCATAAAAATGTTAAAATTATCGTCTCCGATATTATCAGGATAGTATCGATAAAAATATTAATATATTGACGATAACACCATGGTTTGTTGAGAAAATATCGGCCCCCCAAAAATCCGATATTATCGGGATAATATCGCCGATAATATCGACATTTAATACCTTGCTCTTACTACATTCTCATGTCACCTCATGTGACAGATGATGTGGATAGTCACATCAATTAAAAAGGTTCAATAAATTATAAAAGGAAAGAAAATGTTAAATTAATTTTAATTGATGTGATTGTCCACCTCATCTGACACATAAGGTAGTATGAGAATGTGGTAAGAGTAACATTATTCATAAATGTATGATTTGTGTATGTTAAGCATCATTATTGCATAAGCATCATTGTTGCAAATGGTTTGCAATGGTCAATTAAGAAAATTCTTCAATAAATATTTTATGTTAAGGATTGGTTACATATTTTTAATCTCGATTGTTGAATTTTAATTATTATTTATTTAGTGAATAATTAGTATTAAAATATTTAATTAACTTCATGAATTAT